AGTAAACTGACTTATTCATAAAAAATTATCATAATTGTTACAATCTAAAAAGAGCGAGAGTGAGATCGAGAGAGAAAAAGAGAGAGAGAGAGAGAGAGAGAGGGGGGGAGATTAAAAAAGTTATCACTATCGTTATACAACTTAAAAAGTGTGATTTTTGTTTAAATTGTGAAACGAAATGATATTTAATCATCTCACCTCTGTTCACTTACTACTTTTACCTCAGAATAATAACATCAGCAGCGAGAAAGTACACGATAAAAATTTTTGCAAATTATAATTGACTAATGATATTTTTCAATAAAACGACATATGTAATTAATAAACTAAATACCATATTTATAAAATATACTGAAAACAGTAAAAACTACTTTTTTGTTTCGGAGAGAAACAAGTTAAATCATATTTATAATTCTATATGTATGTATGTACAATATATACATATAATATTATTAATTTGACAGTTTGTCATAACTGTGAACATAGCTAGTTTTGTTTTTAGTTATACATAATTCATTTTCAAATATATGGTTTATTTATTAATTGATGAAACACAAAAGAGAAACCATGATGATGAAGCATTATTTTGCGTTTCGAGACAGAGTCCCCTTAAACGCAGAAACAGAAGGATACATAAGTAGCACAAAGATAAAAAAGTGTAACAATTATCGCAAAAACAAAACGCACGAAGAGCTACGTTAATTTTGACGGAAACGCAAGTGCATTTAACTCTTAAATATTTCACATATAATTTACACCGCTCATATACATATATAGAAACCTAGTTATCGATCACTAGAAGATGATTAAAATTTTTCTCTTAAACGCTTTAATAGACGTTGCTCCGCGATGCCTACCCATTCTACAGTTCAACGGCATAATATATCTGAAAGATTTTTTAAAGAGCTCAATTTGACACAACGGCTGTACGAGCACATAAATACGTATACAAGTTCTAGTGTTACGCAGTTTTCCATCGCTTCTAAATTTGAATTCGCTAAAAAACAGTGGCAAAGTCTCTTATAGCTGAAAATAGTGAAGATGAGATAACTAATGAAATAATCCCTCTTAGCTATCTTAATGCTACATAATATACATATATAGGATTACATGTTTATCTCAGTTGAAAGATAAATCTGATATAAGCATTTTAAAGACCTCTGTAAAAGTTAAACTGGCCAATAACGTTAGAAAGAATCGTATAACAATAATATCTATGTGAGAAAATATCAAGAATACAATCAGTTGGCCAATTAATCAGGAATCAACTGCCTACAAATCTTAAGCTGGTACAGGGAAGCATTAACGCTAGAGCACACTTTAGCGATTTTCTCTTCCAAGATAGATTATTATAAATAGTTAATCCAAGATATTCAATATAATCTTTGAAGGAAATAACATTATTACGAATAATAGGAGGCAATTCGCACATGTCAATTTAGGTGATATACTTACAATTAATCTTCCCAGAATCAGGACTGTAGTTTAACAGGAATTCAGCTTAAATTTATTCGCAGAAACCCAGTTGGCAATGCAGTCAATATATCGTTGTTGACTCTGCGGATTGCTTCACCAAGGTAGTAAATCTTATATGTAAGTAAATGAGCAGATCATCGACGTAAAAATTATATTTACAATACATTAGTTCGTTGCCAAAGTGAAGAAAATATAAGATGAAGAATAGTGGACCCAAGCCCGATCTCTGAGAAGTACCAGAAATCACAAGCCTTGCAGACGGTATCTCACTGACAGGGTCACGGACGGCCAGCATTCTGCCACCAAGTAGGAGCACAATTTCGACGCTAAACAAGCGAAATTCAAGGGAGGGGGAGAGAGAGAGAGAGAGAGAGACGTTTCTGTAACGTCATAATTTGAAAATACAGTAGGAGTAAACAGAAGCTTTAACAATAAATTCTTTTAGCTATTACTTGATTAGTTAATAACTTTTTCCTCTTCTAAGAAACAATTTTTTGAATTGTATCGTTTTTGAAGTAAAAAAGCAATAATATGATTTTAGTAACTGAGCTATTATATATTACAGTTTTTTTTCAATGTACATAGACAGAAAAAAAGAATAGATAAAAATTACTGTTTAATATAATAATTTATCATTTCGTAATTTTATTTCTTCGAATAACCGCTCATTGATGCATTTACAAGATGTAATATAATCTTTTTAAATTGAATTATACATTTATTTTCTTGTAAATTAATATTTATTATTACTTTGTGTTAAAAGTATTGGGGTAAGATTATAGGAAGAATTTTTCTTATATAGTGTTGTGCAAGATACTTTATTTTCAGTATTTAAGTACAGATATATAGGTACTAGAAAAACAAAATATCTAAGTATATAAAGATACATCAAATACACGTTACACACACACACACACACACACACACACACACACACACACACACATCTAAAAGGAGTTTTTATTTATTAACATTTATTAAAAAATTTTTCAGAATAAATAGGCATTTATGATTTCATGTATCCACACATAACATTTATGTATTATATATATTTTATTGTACAGGGTGTAACAGCGACATACAAGTCAGTATGACGGGTTGCCTATGCGTGCTGCAGGCTCGCGCATTTGTTCACAACTGCGTAAGACTTAATCACTGAGACGGTACAATCACTCGCATATCTTTTTCATGTATAAAGTTTGTAGTGTTCAAAGTTTTGATTTAGAATATAAATTATATGTTATAATTTTATTACTTAAATTTACAATGAATCAAATTCGTTAGTCGACTATTGAAATTTGCACATATGCTAACTGCTGACTTTCGTACTGTGCATAAACATTTCGAGCGAAAAAGTAATAAAATTATAACATATAATTTATATTCTAATTTAGTTTATAATCAATTATAATAGAGCCTTTCTCATAACAAAGAAGATCTAAGATTTTCTTAATAAAATTCATTATATATATATATATATATATAAAATCTATATCATCTCTTCAACTTCCGTTTTAAAGAATTGCTGAAATCTGTCACAAATGTATCAAAACTTCGGACGCTACAAACTTTATACGCGATAAAGATATGCGAGTGATTGTACCGTCTAAATGATTAAGCCTACGCAGTTGTGAACAAACGCGTACGCCTGCATGAATAGGCAACCCGTTATACTGACCTGTATGTCGCTGTTACACCCTGTACATACATAAATATTCTATATGAGTAAATTCAATATGCTGTATAATAAAATGAAGTAATACTCTTATAAAGTTATTAATTATATTTTATTCAAATAATTTATTCAACATTTATGCATTATGTTTTAAAAATATCAAATATTTAAAATTGTCATTGAACAAATTATTTTGTCTTGGTGTTAAAATTTGTTGTCCTGCATTATCTCGTAAATGTACACTTTTGTTAGTTTGTGGACTCTTCAAACTGAAAAGAATTGTATTAAAGTGTACCATATATCTAATTATACAAAAAATATTTATATGAAATATATTTTTACGCTAAATGTCTGTTGAACGTGCATTCAGTACAGAAAAGTATCGTTCTAAATGTGACTAAAATGCACCTAGATATAGGTACAAGAAATTATACTAATTTATAAATATACGTACCAGTTAAAGGTACCTACATAAATTTTTATCTAGATACTACACAACACAAAAAATAAAATAATCAAAGTAAGATAAATATGTAAAAAAGATTTTTCATTTCGTAGAGACATCAACTTAATATTATAAATTACTCAAGAATTGAAATGTTCTCAGAAATCCAGTTTAAAAAAATGCAAATTTTGTCCCTAAAACAAAATTCTGCTTTTTATTGAAATAGAACTAAGTAGTCTTAATATACTTTTAATTAATACTTTTTTTGCATGAAAGATGAGAAGCTATATGCACTTTACTTTTTTAATAGCTTTGAATAAAAATCTTTTAAGAAAAATTTCTTCTTTGATGGGATAATTTGTATCAAAAGAGCACTCATAACGAGCATTCATTCTAGCTATAAATAAAACATGCAAAAATGTACATTTTAGTGGATTAGGTTGGGTCACAATTAATGTAGTCTTTGTCATAGAGCAACACATTACATTAATTTCCGGAAGCAAAATACGCTACCCCCGTGAATTTCGTGATATCTCTGTTCGTACGTACATATATATATATATATATATATATATATATATAATATCAAACTACTTCATTAATTTTAATATAAAGAGTTCTCATATTTAGCGGACAAATCATGAAAGTCTAAACAAATTGTAAAGATAGAATACTTCGTTAATGGAAGCTAGGTCATAATATTTCATTTCAAACAGGACTGTTTCTTTGAAAGCAGAGAAAAGCGCGTCCATTAAATTAAAAACTTAAAAAATATGTATGTATATAGAGAAAAACTAATGAATCGTAAAGAATGTATACACGTATGCTACATATGTATATAACATGCGTTACATTAATAATGATAATAATAATAATAATAATACTTTTTGTATTACATTTCATTTCGTATTGCATTTTCCATACTTATATTTGTTTATATACTTCAGGAAGTTTTGACCAGTATATTGTACTTGTTGCGCTTATCCATCGAGGGATTTTCTTCAGGACTAAAATAAACTCTTTTTGCTATTAACGCTAATATAGTATATACAATCCAACTTGGTTCGACCTGGATTGCATGGCCAACGGGGGTGTTCTCGAGGTTGGATCCAAGGTGGCTTAGCAAGGGCCAAGCAGCATAGACAGTTCTCTCTCTCTCTCTCTCTCTCTCTCGCTCGCTCGCTATCTCTGTCTGTCTATCTATACCTCTATCTTTCCTTCTTGCTCGTAAAGGGCGAGAAGGTGAGGTGCCTACAGGCAGAGGGTGAGTTTACGAGGCTCGCGAGCTTGCGCATTCGTGGGCCCATCCGGCGCAGCCTCCGGGATCCTTTCACGGGGCGGTGGACGCGCGCGTGTCGCGATATATAGACGGTGGACGGAGCTTGTCGGTCGGTCGGTTGCCCTCGCGCGTCAGGCACGTCGCAACCCCCAACATCATAGCATCGCAGGTCGCCGGGTCTCCCGACCATGAGAAGAGCGTTGGTTGCCGTTGTCGTCGACCGTCATCACGGGACGTCGTCTTCGCCAGCGTTTATATCGTACGCGTCTACATCGCCGCCTTGGTCGTATCGGAAATAAAAGTCGACGTCGTAAATCGTTGTTAAGGATCAGCGCGAGAAAACCGGTGGCACGCGCCGACGGATCTTTTCCGGTGTGATCTCGCGACCGCAGAAGAAAAAAAAAAGGAAAGAGAGAAAGACGAGCAGTATTGGTAATTTTTCGAGAGGGTCGTACGGAGCGGCGGAGAAAAAGAAGGGGGTGGTGATTATACGGCATGCGGTCTTGAGAGCACGCACAAACAGGTGGCGAGGCGGGATTTCTCGCGGAAGACTCGGTGGCTGGCGAAAAAGAGGGCAAACGCGGGAAGAGTGGAAGTACGTGCAGGTACTGTGAAAAAGATACTTTGAATTTTCTTTTATCTATACATGACCTTTCTTTTCTTTTCACCCCCTCTTTTCAATTTCTATATACGTCCATATATCGAGAGGGGAGAAACTTGGAAACAGCTTTTCCATACAAAACGAAACAGCAATCTCTTTTCCGCCTTCCAAAAATTTATCTCTCGCATCTCAAAGCTGCAAATTATGTCAATTTCTTTCTATTTCATTCAGTTCTCTTTCTTAGTAGTCTCTTTGAATTTCGTTCAACAGCAGTCTTTACATTTTCTCAGGAGAAGTGACGATCTTTATTCAGATATCGACTCGGGAAAAAGCTCTTATCACGACTCATTAATGTGAATGCAAACGTCGGCAGAAAGCGGATTTAAATTATGTGAGAACGTGAGAGTTATAACTATCTTCTCTTCTGTCATTGCAGCGTTGGTTTTGAAATTAGGGCTAACAGTCGATAGCATTTTTACGTAATTTAAAAAAAATTTATCACAAAAATTGGAAAGTAACAGAAAAAAATAACACAAATAAAGTAATTAATTATAAAATTGAAAAATATGAAGAGGTATTTTTAAAATGGTATATCTGGCGAGTGTTATAAAAAAAATGGATCCGTATAGCTGGGCGTATTTATCGGAAAACTCCTAGAGCTACGCGCGACTCACGAGCTTTAAATAAAAAGCTATCGTATAACTCAGGGTATTTTCACTTGTAAACGGACTACATACGAATTTCATCCTACTTTAATCATTTTGTTGGCGTAAATACAGGGATATTTACAAACCATAAAATAAGCAATAATATATAGATATATGTAGATTAATTTTCATCGATTTTACTGAGTTTTTGCGCGTAAAATTATTATATAGTGATAATATAATTATATATAGGGTGTAAAATTAACAGTGTTGCAAATTATTTTCCTGTAAATAATTAAAGATAACGATAAAATCAACTTTAACATTTTAGGATTTATCGGTACTTTTCATGTACATGGAACACTATTTTAGCCTCTTGTTTTCTACTCTCGAAATGTTTTTGTATATAACGTATAGATTAATCCTTTTTATAATTCTGTAACAAGATATCTCATATTTTATTCTAATATATAAGATATAAAATATCTCGTATAAAGTATTCACTTTGACCTTTGATCGATTGATGATTCTATTCTTTGCACATAGATACACCAGTGCATCTGCAATGTGCAATTGTTTTTTTCTTTCAAATGCCGCTACGTCTCTTTTTACATTGATCGATTCTTCTTCTCATTTTACATACAAAATAAGGTCATTGGAAAATGAATACTTTTTACAAGATATGTATATCATATTTTATATCAGAATGTGTTAGAGAATAATAAAATGTGAAATATCTCTTAATATACATACGTACAATATTCATTTTTGGAGATTTTGGTTCTTAGCTTAATAGCATTACACAAACAACTGAAAAAGCCGATTTATGTAAGAAAAGAAATAATTTTATTTAATAAAACAAAGAAATTATCTGAAAAAACATGTCTTTTTATCTTTTTCTTACTGTTCTCCCATAGCGGTATCTCATATATCGCATAAAAATGAACTGAAAACTACTAGAAAAGATTTTGTTGCAACTCCAATTTTTCGCGAAACCGATTTGTAATATTTTTAGTTTCGTATTTTTTATAGAATCTTTTATTTAACGCACAGAGATAATATTTCTTGCCTAAAATAAAAATAATTTTTTTTGTTTAAAACATAAATATATATTTTACAAGATATTAACTCTTTGGTATTATTTTCAGTATGTGGCATTTTTGAGATGCCTTTTATTTTACTCTGATATAACGTTTTTTTATTAATACTCAAAAAAAGATAGATTGAATAATTTAGCAAAATTATAGCTCGCTGTGCGAGTTCAATATCTATACATAATTAAAAAGATTTGATGGTTTAACAAAACATTTGTAAGTAATTGTTAGTATGGTAATTCAACTAATTCTTTTCTACAATATAGAAATTGTTAATAGAACAAATTTTCTTGATTATAATAATAAAAATATGTGTGTCATTTTAACTAATAATTTTATTTAGTTGTATACCTTCGTTAATTTACATAGAAAATTGGCTATCCGTATATATTATGGCTATAGATTTATTGAATTAGTGAATGAAGTTTTTAGTTTTTTTAGCATTTTTTTCGTGAACTTGAAATGATTAATGTGTTCTAACAGATCGATATTTCAGAATAAGGATTAATATGTACAAAGAAGCATAACAATTGTAATCGGAAAAAATTGTAACCGGAATCGGAAGTAATCGTTCAATTCGTTATTATCATTGACGATTATTATTGAAATCGCAGTAATAGCACTATCGTTAAAGCTATTAAGTACTCGAGTAATTGAGTTTAATCGCAAATAGTTTAAGATCTTATTTCCGCGGTCCTTGCCTTGCGTATGCCATCGCTTTAATTTCCTACTATAACGATTGCTCGCCCCTTTACAAGGTAAAAACAAAAAATCCACGATATGACTCCATACATGTAATAAATTGACCAATTATAGTCGATTATTCTTGTCATATGATTGGTTAATTTTTCACAATTTAAGACCTTACAACCGCTAAGACTTCTGTCGTAAACCCTGCATAAGTCTTAACGGCAATTTGTTACATTGTTTAATTATAAAATAAGCAAAGAGCTCTAAGAGTATAACACAGAAGCAAACTAAATTTTTTTTATGATAATATGTCTTTTATTCCTTTATCATTACACCTACTTTATAGTACATGGACGTTTTGGCTCCAATTCAAGCCATTTTCTTTGTTATATTGTTGTTGACACTGTCATTAATAGTTACAAAATAGGAGCTCCGAAGCAGTTTTGTAATACGATAAATTAGGATTTTGGATTGATACATTGTGTTGATAAAATCAAATTTAATTTTATACAATTTCAATTTAGTCGCCATAAAATTACGTATTAGTACATATTTTTGTAGTTACATTAATTTTCATGTTTGTTCGGGGATATGAATAATTTGGTTACGTCGTCGAATCGATTCGTAATAATATTTACTCATCGTGAATTAATGATCCATCTGATTTATACAAATTAACGTTATCTCTGAGCGTCCCTGTGATGAAACATGATAATACCATGCATTGCGGCAATACAGCTAAATCGGATGTCAATATGTTTCCGTAACGATAAACATATTAATAGATATTAATGATATCTGTCAACAATATTTACCTCTGTGAATGGTTGATGGTGGTAACACGCTTTTATTGACATAGATCCAATCGTGTTGCGCTATTTATCCAACGGATTCTTCTACCGCGTGTTTTTACAGATGCAACGGCACGGCTTCTGATGAATCTGCGCGGACCGACGTCTCCAAAACCGATCGAGATACGTTCTCGACGCTTAACGTCGAGGCATTATTTTCTATATTATTAGAATCTAAACAAGGTAATTTGGACAATCAATCACCGCTGTGAAGAACGACTGCGGGGAGGCACCTTTTCTGGTAACGACCTGCAATCATGCTCAGTCCCAAAATGCAAAAAGCTGGTAAGATATATCTCGTTTATTGTCATTGAAATGCACGAAAATAATGGGTGCCTTCTATTTACCGATATACATATGTGATACATAAGTATTGTTCCGTCATTTATTACTCATAAAATGCAAAGAAAAGTAGAACGACATTTGTATCGACTGTGTCACTAAATGAAAGACACTCATCTCTTTTGTGTACACATAGTTGGATAACTTCTGTTTAATTTAACACGTTTCATGTGTCTCAAATGATTTAAATTTTTGTGTTAATTTAACATAACATAAACATGTTAGAAAATTATGTAAAAATTTAACACAAAGGATAAAAGTAACACTAATACAATTTGTAGATAAATTGTGGAAACATTTATTTTCTTAGTTTCTTCAGTAAATTTAACATTTATATAAAATGTTAAATTAATACACATTTTATTCATTTTATTATAGAAATTACGTTTTAAAATACATTATTTTTATCTATTTATTTACTTACGAATTATATTATTTTAACACTAAGAAATATGGAATATTATTTTAACATAAAATATTTACATTACAAATTATATTACATTAAATTAACACTCGAATATGTTAAAAATTGGATAGAAAAATTTGAACAAGTACGAGTTTTAACATAAATATAAAATGCTTTTTACTGTGTAATATTAAAATAATTCTTCTTTTATTTAATATATCAAATTTGAGGAGATTAACAAAATCGTATAATGAATACGAGATTAGGACAAGTTTTAGGATTTTTAATTAATTCTTCGAATTAAAGATCGTTATTATACATATTTACTTTAAACATGTCGTTATTAAATAAAAGTAAAACATTGAGAAAAAGACATTAATTACAATTTATACAGTTATAAAATTCTCTGATTTCTTGATCAATACTACATAACGTTTAATATTCGAATACGCTTCATGCAGTATTAAATGAAATTGAAATATTACAATTAAACGCACTTTATAAAATTCCTAAAATGTATTTTAGGAATTTATTTAGCTATTTCCAGGAGATGTATTAATCATTATTTATTTGATCGACAACCATAAAGTGGTTTTTAATTACAGCATGCGTGTGAAATGTATGAATAAAATCGCATAGATTTTCCAGTGGTGCTTTTGTTTCAACAAATAAATAGTATATTTTATTACGGGTTTATATATTAAATATACAAGCGCGAACATCAAAGGTATCAAAGGTGTTCGTGATCCCCGTTCTCGGAACTACAATATTTGCGTTGGAAAGTTTGCCCTCTCTCGTCAAAAACGATAGTGCTTGCTTTATATAAAGTGAAATAAATCCATTGTTTACTGGAAAATTTTCCACGCTATATCGAGATTAGATTTTCCATCCCCGTGCAAGCATATAAATACAAATAATAATCGGTATCGCAGTCTCGACTGCGCGCTCTTATCCTACTCTCGCTCCATTTTTCACACGCGGCGCACGTACATGCGCTGATTATGCGGTGCGGATTATGCGAGTTTTCCCATCCACCGACGCGACGCGACGCAGCGAGGCGAAACTTGCAGCTCGATTTCTTCGAATGGAACAAAGTTTCTCAAATGTCACGTATCTTTGCGCTAAAGTTAAACACGCGATCTCGACAAACGGAACGAGAAACGACCGCTGTAACCGCGCGAGTTTGAGAGCGCTACGGCACAGCTCGGAACTCGCGTCGATCGAGCGAGCTTGCGAAGCTCTGTAGTTAAACCAAAGTTGCATTTGCACGGAACTGAACTAGAAATCGTATCGTCATATCGGAGATTGAAATCTACTCTCGAAAGTGGCTCTCTGATTGCACGCGCGACGGACGTGGACGACCCATTCGCGGCCACCCAAGTGTCCGATTAAACTCCCATTCGGCTGTGATCGATCGCGCGCAATTTTTTAGTTGCGAATTGTTTGCCTCCGCAGGATTTTATTACTTCATTTCTCAACCGACGCGTTTTTTAATCACGGGAGCTTTGCAACTTGTCGGATGTCGATTTATTGTAATAAACGGTGAGACCTGCCGTTGTTTGTTACCGTGGATTGTACTCGGCGGATTATTAATATTTACGTTGATGCGATGCGGCAAACAAGATTCGTCGATACTTTGAGCGTTACTATTGGAACGGTTGCATAACGAAATAATTTGATGCATGATCGTGATACAGTGCATTGTTGTGCCATGCAAAATATATAGATACATTTAGTATATGATTTCGCAATTCAGATATGATTTTACGTTTGTACACATTACGTTGATTCGCAAGCGCGCAGGTAGATCTCTGTTCGCGTAATTAATGCATTCTCCGAAAAGTAACGATGTAAAACATAAAACTCATAGACGCGCTTCAAACGCGAACTCATTACAAAGAGAGAGGATTAATTGAGATAATTTAAGTAATTTAATTACTTGCCGTAATATTTTAAAAGATACTCCTGATATTAAATTTTTATAAAATTTTACAGATTTTTTTTTCTCTTGCAAACGAATTGTTCAAATTTCATTTTGCAAATGTACTCAGAAAATTCACTGATGACATATTGCACATATTGAATTTCTTTGTGCATGTTAAAATTTGAATATCTACATGAAAAAAACAATTTACTGAATTATCTAAAAGTTTAGTTAGATACAAAAGTAAAAATAAGTTTGTTGGACCAGCAAAAATAATTATGTAGAACGCTCAAGTTGCTGTAAAATGTTGAAATTTTTTACATACACATTACAACAGTATTTTGCTCATTCTTTTAGAAAAATCTGATACTTGCCAATATTACTGGAAAACAATAATTACTTCCTGTTTTTGAGTAACAAATTGATCAATATTAGATTTCTAAGGGTCACATTCAAATTTCCTACATAATTATTTTGATGATCCAATTAAGTTTTTATTTTAATCTATATTCAAGCTAAAGTTTTAAATTTGTATTTAGCCTAATTCTTGGATACTATAACAAAACCATTTTTTTTCCGTGTATGCATTTAATTGCCTTATTTACAAGGTCTACGTGTCTGTGTGTGTTGCAGTGAGAGTAAATGATTCTCAACTGGTCATGCTCTCAGAGAAAGCACATTACGATCATTCGCTGTCAGGATATTTGTACAAACGGACAGCTGATTCCACCAAGTGGCAACAACGATGGTTTGTTCTCTATCAGGTCAGTGAATTGTTTGTTGATGAACTGTCATTTATACCTGTACCGAACAGGGCGAGATCCAATTTATGCGATCCGATTTGAGAGAGTCTCACGCTCGAATCTGAATTTAAACGTAAATTTATCTTTTCATTATTCTGAAATACACAGTTTCTTCCCCGACAGTCTAGAAGAAAATCAAACTTTGCGATTAACATTACTTCGCAACGACACACAGTTCGTAATTCTCCGAGATTAATCGCCAAGACTCTTTACAAGAAGTTTACTCGCTGCAAGAAGTTACCACAAAGTTATCATTTCAGTCCAGTATAGTTAGCATAATTTTTAATAAAACGACGTCATACTTTAATATAAAATTTTCAACTATTAATAGCGGTTAAATTAAAATAACAACAATATCTAAGTTTGCACAAACTTGTACGGTGCATGAGACTTCATCTTCGATTTGTGGAAACTTCTTCGCTCACGGGGATGTTGTCTACTCGTGGACTAACAAACTTCGGAAATGAGGCCTCATTAAGTCTTATGGCGCATTTCGGGCTAGCCAACTCGCTGATACAATTAAGAGAAGAACTTTCGATATAGTTCGCGACAGATACCTCGACTCTTGGGAGCATCTATGTCGAAAATTCACACACACATTCGTGCGCGCTTCTTTCTCTCTTCTCTTCGTTCTAATATTTCGCGATCCTTTAAGCCAGCGGTAAATCTTCTCGTTATATGCTTTCGCGATCATGAAGCCGCTCAATTACGGTGCAGACACGAAACTTGTAATTATTCTATTAAAAGTCGTGTTATCGTATCGAAAATGAGTTTCAACTTTTTAAACAAAAAGTTTTCCAGTCCGTTGTTTAATTAATTTTAATTTTTTAAGATAAACAATCTACGAAGTGCCGTGGGATTTACCACTTTATCGAATCCGAAACAGATTACTGGAAAGCAATAAGTAGACTCGAATAAATACGAAAAGCATTGCCCTTTTTTCGTTTTAATAGGATCAAATAAATACGGAGCAGGGGGCACAATCCTGTCTCTTTTTACTTGAGCAGGATCTCAGCTAAAGTAATAAATAAAACGGAATATCTTTTTGTTTGCGAAAGTTTGTTAAGTAAACGAAGATATCATCACGAGCGATAGAGTCTTGCTTCGTTTCTTGCGGATCAAAATTCTGCGATAATCGAGGTATCTTGACAAAACGTTTCAAGTCATTGAATAATAGAAGTATAACTTGTTCTCTTCCAACTTAATAAGTTTATCCTCTGAATTTGTATAAAGATCAGATATTTTGGTGCTGTAGCATTTCATGCAAGAATACTTGCATTTTTCCGGAGATCGCGAATTCAAAAGTATTAAAAGGAATAGGACATTCTCTCTCTCTCTCTCTCTCTCTTCTTTTACGCAGCAAATTGTATACATGCATTTTCCGAGAAAACTTAATCTAAGGTTTGTCTCCAAGATACTTTCTTTCTATTTTCTTACTTTGAGAAATAAGTTTGTTTCATGTTGCTATAAACACAAATGTTGTCATTACAAATTGTACTATACCTGCAACATCCTGTTTTGTAATTCACATAAGTGTACAGAAAAAAAATTGTTAAAATAACTAAAAACTTCACACACACACAGAGAGAGAGAGAGAGAGAGAGAGAGAGAGAGAGATTTAGCAAATTTACAGCTTTCCGTATACGGACAGCTAGTTTTCTATGTTAAAAAATAGAAGCAAAGTCGTACAGCGGAATATAATTAGTGATTATAATTTATAAATAACCGTGTTTGTTGTGTAATAATAGTACGGTAATGTTAATATAACAAATATATAATTTTTTACAGAAATCAATTCAATACATAAATCCAAATTCTTAACGAAATATATTAGAGAGTGCGTTTTTAACAAAATATGCTAGCTACTTTGCTGCTGTAAAGAAGAAAACTTGTTACATTAGCAATTTTTATTGCAACGAAGAATTAATTGAATTAGTATATTGATAATTATTTAGGATATATAATTATCTCAATATAAATAAAAAAACACAAACTAAACGCGAATCAGGCACTAGTTTCGGATCATATATTATATTATATTTAAATATTTACATTATTTTCTATCAAATAATGCATATCACAAAATTCTTTAGCGTTTATTTTATCTTTTTTAAGTGTCAATTGTTTTTATTTATTAGCAACAATACTGCACATTTTATTGATGTCGTTAATTAATAAAATGTGAAAGATAAACTATAGTTACTAAGATATATATCTTCAAAAATTCATTGAAAGTGTAATACAATTAGGATTACTTTTTGACTTTTACAGGAGGTAATAAATAGCATTAGATTTTATGAAAAAAAAATCAATATCATTCTAAGTTGAAATATAAGCATTTAATGAACTGATCCGCAATTAATACATAGAGTCTAATTGTGGATTATTGTCAATACTTTATTTAATTAGAATTAAAACATAAAACAGTGCCGAAATAAAATAATATCTATAACATAATATTTAGAAACGAGCAAATATAAGATTTTTAATAAAAACCAATTTAATAACGTGTTCTTATGATTAAACATTTTACGACCATTAATTTTGTATATACATTTTTGTATTTTAATCATAAGAATATATCATCTTAATTTAATTTTTATTAAAAATCTTGTATTTGCTCGTTTATTGGTTATTTTCTCTTAATATATAAATTATTTTGATGAAATTGAAGCGTATATATATTGTTTTTATTTATAGCCTCTACAATTAATTATAATTAACTCTTAAACGTTTTATTAGTTGTTCGGTACCGTTCTGGATAAAAGTATAAATTCTTTTTTTTTAAAGTGATCCACAACTAGAAGCCTTACCCTACAGCTATAATTTCTTTATACAATCATCAAATCTCCTTAGTTACAGATGCTAAATTCTTGCAGCAAGTTGTAGCTTTGCTGAATTACCCAATCGATTATTTTTGCGCAGTCAACAGTTTTCTGCAATTTACAGGCACGAGTTGCAATTTACCCAAAATCCGTGCAATTAAGCGTGTATGCGTATTACGGATAATTAAAATTTTGTTTGTTTGTCAATACTATTTAAACCGCCAACTACAACATTTCTGGATGCTTGTCGATACTGTCAGGTTGCGACAAAAGCAAAATCGTTCAGAGATTATATCATGTATCACCAATGCGAATTTTATCCTGCGGATTAACCGGAATATAATTGGCTTTATGAAATGAGTGCGTATGTATAATTGCAATATTCATTCCGCAAAATCTTGCGTCAACAACACACATACATCATGTAATTTGATTCAACGTAACCCGGACGTTTATTATTTTTTAATAATGCAGCTGGTAAATTTGTGCAATATTTTAGTACGCGTAGAGCCAAGGTAGCACGATTTCTGCTTTCTCTATCCGGTTTATTACATATATATGCATATTACAAGCTATTATTTTTATAATGAAAGATAAAAACAAATTTGGATTTAATATTGTTTAACACATATCGCATTGTAAGATAATTGAAATATGTGCGAAGTTAAATTTTATATGTTATATGCACATGATCTTAAATGAGTTAAGCTTTAATTACCGTATTCTCCCTGAATACCTCGCTGAAATTTCTTGCTGCGTGCAAAGTATAGAGGGCGGCTTCGTGTAATGCTTTATACTGAGCTCGAGTAAGGCAGCTTCAGTGGAAATGGTCTGAATGTGGTCAGAAATTCCTGCCAGCGTGAGGAAAATCATTATACAAGGCGGAGATTCAATGGAAACTTAAATCACATAATATTGACTTAAATTGACTTGACTTAAATTGAATATCTTCTAGATACGCGTGCGGATTGTATTAAATGTTTAATTTCAAAACTTACTGACACGTTTATGTTTCGACATCGAATATGTATCTGTCACATCTGATACTAAAAATATTAAAAGGAGGATGTTAAATCTTCTAGTAAGAAGATGTTTGTCTGATTCATACTTTTAGCTGACAAAATAGCCAAAAGATTCTTAATAAATATCATGGTATATTATTATTTTTCGTGTCCATGCGTATATAAAAATATGACGGATGCTTATTTATTTTTTCACGTTTTCTCCACTGTACAAGAAAAGCGAACTTTATCATAGACGGCTATGACGTCTGTTACAGAATCTGTTATTCTATTACGAGAACGAGACTTGCTCACGACCCAGTGGCGTCGTTCTGCTGGAAGGCTGTTATTGCGATCGACTCATCACCGCCAAAGGCAAAGAACCAGATAAACAGGTACGCAATGTGTTGCTTTAACAAGCATGAGTTTTGGACTAAATATTATGTCCGCGCTTGAAGAAAGAATCTTAGCGAACTAAATATTCGTGTTTTACTTCCATTTCCGCTTTAATGTAACACGTTTCTGCTCTAATTTAATATTATGAATACGTCAATAAGAATTGCATATGAGTTATCGAAGTTGCCTAAGTCTATAAAGCGGCATCGCGGTATCTTCTTTTTTCTGGAAACGCAAAGTTTCATTTTTTTATATTTTTTATAAAAACATGAGCAAAAATCGTACCAATTTATGTCACAGAAAAACAAATTTTACAAAATCAGTCAATCTTTTCGTCTCTTTTCTTTTTATACTATAAGATTACCACGATCGAAAAAAAACATGGTAATGACAACTATAAAACCCATTCTATAATTGCTATGCGTAAACACGTACAGTTGTAGTTGTAAGAATTGACCAGTTGAATACAAGAAGAATTTTGACTATGGTGGATTTTTAACAATTACGACCACTTACAACTACACGAATAGAATTTTCTGTTAAAATTTATCCTGAAAATATGGTAGTTTGGGTACAATACAATACTTTAAAGATTTCTTACATGCACTTTTTAGGAAAATTAATCAAATTTATTTTACATTTTATTATTATTTTTTATTAGTAAATGAGAGAGATTTACATAGAAAATTCTTCGAAATATTATACAATGTTGTCCTACGACTATCATATTTTTAAGATAAATTCTCCTCTCCATGTACGTTTATGCAATATGTAGAATTAATGTAAACAATGGAATAAACTAATGTATATTGTTGGAATTTTATAGTTGTAATAACTATAAATAATTTATTTAACTATATAAATTCATTCTACATATAAAACTTGTATAGTTATCACTTTTATAATTGTCATCACTATGTCTTTTTCTCAGAGTACACAAAAATGGTTGGGAGGTGACACATAAATACAATTCCCCTATTTCTTTTTAATGGTGCTCAAATACGTAATGGATAATTCAAAATTGTTTGCTGTGTATGTAATATATCTAATGTCAAAGGCTAATGTGTCATTTGTACGCACGTGCCTTAATTTAAAAACACACGCCGCTTTTAACCTACATAGATGAGGGTCGTGTTCTGTTTTTCAAGGTATTCAATTGCGCAACAGTATTATCAGCATTTCAAAAACCTGTGTAAAACCCATAATTTTCGTAATATATTTGCATCCACTTTAGCGACGTAAAAATTTTCGAAACTATCATTTATAAAATAAATCTCTCAAAATATCGTGACTCAAAGTTAGGATCCCCTATTTTATAAAATATTCTTGTAATTAGCGACAAATGTGGTCCATTTGATTCAAGTTATTTTTTAAATCCAGTATTAAACTCTTTTAATATTGAGCGTCCATTCAAATCAGATGCATTTATCGACAAATAGGCGGGGTAATTCTTCGTTTGATTTACAAACATAGCAGCAAAACGTTTCTATTATTTAAACTTTTGGCATTACAAATCCTAGATAATTACGATCAATGGTACATTACTGTCGGACTTTCATGTGTACGGATTCCACCAAAGAGAAGCATCTCTGTTAAACGGATGAATTTGAAATATGCCAAGCAATTAAAAGGTTCATTAACGACATGTGGTCGCGTGAGATAATAGGGAGCGTATCGATTTCTGCAAAGGTCACGTGATGCTGGCTGGCTTTCCCGCTTTTTCTAAAGATACATCGACCGTTTAGTTATTTTCTTTTAGTCTCCTAGACAAGGAGGAAACTGTTATTTTTTTCCCCTTATTTCCACTTTCGTTGCAACCGATAAATCGATCGCACGCGCCTGCTGCGAAAAATAATGCGTAACTCCAATGGCCGTTCTAACAGCCCCTTTGTTTAGCACTGCAATTATCATCGGGCAATGCTGAAAAACATACTCAATGTACCGCTATTATCCACAGAATTATATTTGTTTTGATTTCTAGTTTGATTTGCAACAAACTTATTTTTAATTATTTGGTTAAAGACAAAAAATGATTAAATAAATTTTAAATATTTTTAATAATAAAAAAATAAATATTAAAGAAAATAATATTTATTAATATTTTCCATTTCTAAAAACGTTTGGAACGTAAACGGAATTATGAGATCAAACATATGTTAACATTACTGTATCTGACTATAACGAATAAATAAAATATTTCGATATAATATTTAAAGAAACGTTTTTAATATTTAAGAGGAAGGAAAATATACTTGTGATTAATTAAATGACTTCATTGAAGTACCTTCAGTTAGAGTTTAGCTTTCAGCTATCTGACTCAATATTTTAGAGTTAATAGAATTAATTAAAATAGGAATGTTTATTCTGTGCGTGGCTCGCATAGTTGAAATGGTTTACATCCATGCGAGAGGAAGAGCAGAATCGATGTCGGTTTTGATGACATGTTTGCGTCATGTTGCATCCATGACAAGAACGACGACAACGTTCCTCTTGTGTCTGATTGTGAGTATGCTCGTTCCGTTTTACAACTCCATTGTCTATCCGATGGCATCGTGAGCCTCCTATGAGAGATGCTCGCAGCGACGCGAGACGCTCGCGGGTCTAGTTATACGCATTCCTTTTCCATACCTTATTTTTTTTGTAGCATCGGAAAACGTCTCAAATAGCAAGATGTTGTCAGTATTAACGTCTACTGTAAGTCAATAATATTATCAAAAATATATCATACACATACGTGATAAACGTAAAAAATGAAGACTACGTTACAGATTAATCAATGATGTGATACTTATAGTATAATGACAAAATGATACCTATGGCATAGCTATATGACGTCAAAAATCACGACAAAAATATATGTAATCTTACCATATGTAAGATAAATTTATTTTTCCACAATAATGTAAACTATTGTTTATTCATTAAATATGATTTAAAAACGACGATTAAGTGACGATATATTTACGTATAATATATCGTCACAAATATGTTACGTTTATTTTATGTCATTACTTAATCCACTGACGTCAAATGATGAAAAAAGATCTTAAATTGTTATAATAACGACATCTTACTTGAGGCGTTTATGTCGGGCAAACGTAAATTAATTAAGGGTGACGGACGCTATTTACTAGTAAAGTGGCTCGCACGTCTCGAGGTATTGTAACGAGAAGGTGAGATTATCCGATACTTCGATCCCCGCATTTCTTCTTCACGATATCCCCGTACTCGTCTGACAATGAGAGCTTAGCTTGTGTCTTGGAGACGCGCTTCATTTATCTTTTAGAGGGAGTGCACTATGGATGTCTGAAGGGGTACTTATAGGCCAGATAAAGCAATGCATTTGTTATACAAGTGTACAATTATAACCAGATACAATTGCATGGCTTTCACGTGGGATGTTCACTTGAAGCACGATATCGACACAAGAGTGTCGACTGTTTCGCAGGCATCTGCTCCAATTTAGTGCACTTTACGGTATAGGTAGTTGTCAATTCAACGAGCAATCGTCAACAATTAAAGCCATCGACTACGATAATATTCCATTTTTTTTTCATATGAACATGTATGCGGAAAAAGTGATTTCAATATTGTTTATATGAATAGTATCCTGCACGAGTAACTGTCTACCAATGCGTCAACCGCACGGATGGAAAAGTATGTATGTATATACATATATATAAAGTATCTGTGTGTATATACCATATATATATGTATATATATAAAAATAATATTCTATAACGTAAATGTTTTCATGTTACTACACGGGCAAAAATGTTTCTTCGTGAAATGTTGAATTTGGCGCAATCGCAACAACAGGGATAAACATACGCGGTGAATAAGAGGACCGTAAAAAATACGCATTTCAAATATTGGACGTAGCGGTGAACACGGAAATCAAGAGAAATATATATTGCATTTTCGTTTGAACAGCCTATTAACTGTATATTTATCCGGAATTATCCGATCGGTTCCGCATAGCCCGGTTGCACAATATTTCCGTTTGTCGATCACAACGACAAATGATTATGTAAACCTTCTGAATTAGCATTACAGGGCTCGTTTAACGACCCTATTCGAATTATTTTGACAACGCACTCACGTTAAATGAACTTCTCGTTTCCAACGACCAAATTTATTCTCGCGTTAACGTGGACCGTTTGAATCATGTTAAGTTGCAGGAAAATTGTGAAAATGTAAAGTGTCGGCTAACAAAATGAATAGCTGGCTAACTAAATATACCGCGCACTATTACATACGAATATCAAAACAGCAAGATAACTCAATCTCTTGAGTTAAGAAATAACATTTTAATATTTTTAACTTTCATCTGCATTAAATCAATTTATTTCTGTTGAATTTCTTATTTTCAAGGTAAACAACGTCCATTAATTAATGTTTGCATTCATTAATTAATAAACTAAATTTGAATCGAATATATTTCTTGAATTAAATTGTTTAATTTAATTATTTTAGTTAAATTAACAGTACACTGAATAAGAGCAACCTGTGAAAATAATTAAAAATAATTAAATTTGTATATAATTTGACATTTTAAATTTAACTTGAACTAAGTGCAATTTCGGCCTATTAACATGTTATGATCGATATAAAGATTAGATTGCTTACCGTAATTTATCGCTTTAACTCACGTGAGTGAAATGTGAACTTTTTTCTTTCTAAATTAATTTCCCTTTTTGCTGGAGGAGGGGGAGAATAATCAGCTATTTACAAAAGTATTAATTATATTACTATATTAGTATATTAATATAGTAATATAATTAATACGTATAAATATAATGAATACATATTAATACTATATATTAATAATGTATCAATAACATATACATATGCAAATATATATTAATACATTTGTATAAGTTTTAATACATTTATTATGATTTATATGGATTATTGGGTTTTATGTCTTTGACGATATGACACGAGAAAAGCAACTATTAATTTTAATCATTATCACTAATTTTGACAATTTTGTCAA